CCTCCCAAGGCGCGGGATTACAGGCTGAGCCACCGAGCCCGGCTTGGTTTTTTTTTTTTTTAAATTGGAGTCTCACACTGTTGCTCAGGCTAGAGTGCAGGGGCATGCTCACGGCCACCCCAGCGTTGACCTGCTGGGCTCAGGTGATCCCTCCACCTCAGCCTTCCAAGTAGCCAGAACTACAGGCGCACGCGCTACCAGGCCTGGCTAATTTTGTTGTTTATTGTAGAGATGAGGTCTCGCCAAGTTGGCCAGGCTGGTCTCGAACCCATGGGCTCAGGCAATCCCCTCACCTTGACCTCTCAAACTGCTGGGACTACAGGCGTGAGCCACTGCACCTGGCCTCAGCCAGTTTTAAAATACATGATTTGTGCTCATATGGTTGGACACAGATACACACATCTGTGTCGTACACACATAAGCGTACACTTTTTTTTTTGGTGAGTCGTAGTCTCACTCTGTCACCCAAGGTGGAGTGCAATGGCATGCTCGCGGCCACCGCAGCCTCAACATGCTGGGTTCAGGCGATCCTTCCCCCTCAACCTTCCGAGAGGCCGGAGCCACAGCACACGCCACCCTGCTTGGCTAATTTTTCTTGATTTATTGTAGAAACGAGGTCTCACCAAGTTGTCCAGACTGGTCTCGTACCCCTGGGCCCAGACAATCCTCTCACCTAGACCTCCCAAAGTGCTGAGATTACAGGCTTGAGTCACCGTACCCAGCAACGTACACATTCTTATACTCTGATATGCATGAAGCTGCCCCTCTCTGCCCTGTGGCCAAGGTCCTGAGAACCCTGTTTGATTCTTTCCCTGGGCTCTCAGGTATCCGGCAGAGCCGGGTCATTGAAACTCTCTCTCCTGGGTTCCATCTCCTGCTTCTTCCTACTTTCTCTGGGCCCCACTCTGTGAACCCTGCCCCCTCGGCTCCCGGTCTCTGTGCAGGAACCACTGAGCCCACACTGTCTGAGAATGGCTGGCATCTCTGCCTAGCCCCTGGTTGCCTCCTGCATGGCGTGCCACATCTTCCCGTCCACCTCACACCCTGCCCGTGGGAGCTGAGCCCCAGTGGGGGAGGAGGGTACAAAGGAAGCCCCTTGGGCGGGAAGCAGGTGTCATGAGGCAGTGAGGACCTTTGTGTCCCAAGGTGGGAGGGAGGCAACTAGAGCTTTTCAACTTGAAGAGATGAGCAGGTGGCCTCGCTGCAGCTGCTCTCTGCCCCCAGAACACTGACACAACGCCCGATTGCCCCCTTCAATGCTCCTCTCCTCCATGAAGCAGAAACAGCCTCTTCAGACCTTTTGCCAAAAAGCATTTGGCCCTTCACTTCCCCTTCCGTTTTGCAAGAGGGAAGCAGCAAGCTGGAGCAGGCTGGAGAGGTGGGGGATGGACCAGGTACCTGCGTCCAAGGCCCAGGTCCATGGTAGTAGGAGGCAGAAAGGGCTCCTGAACTGACCTACTTCTCATTCTCTCTTTCAGCACAAATTGAAGTGATCCCTTGCAAAATCTGTGGGGACAAGTCTTCGGGGATCCACTACGGGGTTATCACCTGTGAGGGGTGCAAGGTGAGTTGTAGGCATATGTGTATATACACACACACACACACACACACACACACACACACACACACACCCCAGTCTTGTTAGTCTTTTGTTCTGACTCCAGGGAGAGTCAGAACATGAGGCAACTAGGGAACAACCTGGGTGGTGACTCCCTGGAGGGCCCTGAACACAGGGAAGGCCTTGCCTTAAGCTGAGGAGGTGACTGCAGGACAAATTGCAACTACATGAAGAAATAAATGGAGGAGAGAAAACTGGCAGGTTGCAGGATATGGAAAAACTGGCGCCAGAGCTTGCGGGCTGGAGGCCTCCAGGAATGGGCTGGGCCTGGCTGGGATGAGCAGTCTTGTTCTCCACCTGCTTTCCCCAGGGTTTCTTCCGCCGAAGCCAGCACTGCAACGTGGCCTACTCCTGCACCCGTCAGCAGAACTGCCCCATCGACCGCACGAGTCGAAACCGATGCCAGCACTGCCGCCTGCAGAAATGCCTGGCGCTGGGCATGTCCCGAGATGGTGAGGCCAAGCGGGGAGCCCCCTGGGGGTTTCCTGGTGTCTCTGGAGGTGCAGCCTGGCCTGCTGTGCTAGGCAGGGCTTCACCTGCAAAAAACGCCCTTCCAGAGATCTGCTCTCCACTCCTCCTCCTGACAGCCTAATGTTTCTTCCACTATGGGTATGGATGGGTCACCCCAATCAAAGCTCTTTGGAATCCCCAACTTTAGGTTCTGCTAGAACAAACTTTTTGCCAAGGTCCCAGACCTCTTCGTCTCTTCTTCCTTGGGATGAATTCTCACTCTGCTCCCCTCTGGCCCAGCTCCCATCCAGTTTCTGCATCTTACCTTCCCACCCCACCACTCCAGTTCTAGCTTTTTCTGCCTTCCTAATCACCCCTTCCCATCCTGGGATGTAGAACTATGGCCAGGAATGGAACTGAGTCAGCCCGAGAACAACCCAGAGGGCATGGGGCGGGGCAGGGCAGGGCTGGTTTGCCTAGTGCTTTTCCCACCTCCTCACCAGTCCCCCCTACACCCCCACCACCATAGAAGGAGCCCAGGGCAGGGCCGGGGGAGGCATGAGGTGATGAGGTGATGAGGAGTCAGAAGGAACCTGTCAGCACTTTTCAGTGCCCAAAATAACAAAGTAAAAGGAAGCACGCAGGGGTGCAAAGGGGCAGGCGGGGCGAGGGGCTGTGCCCCCACACCTGGGAGGGGTGCTGGGGGGAGTAAAAAGGCAGGAAAGAGAGAGCAGAAGAGGATGTTCAGAAACAAGCCGCGGAGCCCGGGTTGGGCTGTGGTGAGTATCTAGGTCACCAGGGAGCCTGCAGGCCTGACCACAGGGAGACCTGTGTTCTTTTCTCTCCTCTTCCTCCGACCCTCCCAGGCAAGCGAGGTGACCCCAATACAGCTTGAAGCCCTCTACTCGGCCACCCCCAGCCCTAATATCGGGAGGCTGGAATCCTTAGCCCAGACTCGTTACTTGAATTCCACTTAGAAACTGATTGAGAAATTAGAAGCTTTTGCTCAGGAAGTGGAAATGGCAGGCTGGACAGATCCCTGGGGCAAACAAGAATAAGAGATGGAAGGGAGCTGGGTGCCGTGACTCACACCTGTAATCCCAGCACTTTGGGAGGTAGAGGCGAGAGGATTGCCTGAGCTCATGGGTTCGAGACCAGCCTGGGCAACTTGGTGAGAC